TCCTGGTCCGGCCGTCTTCCGTCCTCCTGGTCCGGCCGTCGTCCGTCCTCCTGGTCTGTCTCCTGTCGGAGCCTCCGCTCCTGCAGCGACCCCCTTGTCCTTCCTCTCATCTGTGGAAGTGCAGGAAGTTCCAAATGACCTAATATACTGTATTTTGTCGTGAACGCGCCTGTCCGTCCATCTGACGCCGCAGGAGGGCGCTCTGCCCGCTCACACACGTGCATCTCATTTACACAGCGTTGACTTCTCACTTTGAAGGAAACGATGGAGCAGGAAAGTTCCTGACGCCGTGTTGCTGGGACTGTCCACAGGAAAACGGCTTCTGTGTCCCGACGTCAGCGGCTCCGGTCTGGATGTCTGTATGGATTCACCGACACGGACATGTCTGAATGTTGGAAATGCTGCTGCACGTCCTTCTGTGGCTCTTCGTTATCACAACAGGTCAGTGTTATAATCATCTTAACTTATTCTGATGCGAACGCAGTCACGGTTTAGGAACATTTTCCAGTTTCTATATCGAAGCATTTTGTATTAATTTAGAGATTCTTCAAATATCCGTGACCGCGACACCTCCTGGTGTCAACATGAACCGGATTAGAACAGATTAAAGTCAGTGAAAGTCTTCGTGTCATTTACGTTTGTTCAGTTTAAACGACTTCTTCAGTTTTTATGATTTTATGTTATCATCCATCATTTATTCAAACACCGTCGAAGTAAACGACCTTCAGGAGGTTTTTCACTTTAAAAGTCACTTTTTATCCCTCCTCAGATAGAATATCGTCTCTGTCACAGCCGGACTGTGGTGGTGAGGTCAGTCTGGACCAGGGTCCGGTGGGTCACGTCCTCCTCCCTGGGCCCAGTCTGTCCAGCAGGGGCAGTGTTTGGAGCTGCTCGTGGGTGATAGAGATCCCTGAGGGCAGGACTCTCCTGTTGGAGCTGGCACAGAGTCCCGGTGGTGCCGGTGTATCGGTGCTGTGTGGTGACGTCACAGGAGCTCACCGTCAGGTCCTGGGGGGTCAGGGGGGGGCTCTGCTCAAAGGCTGTGGGGGAAACCAGGCTCACATCACTTGGACAGGAGACGGACGTTCTCCTGATGAGATTCAGCTGTCCTATCAGGGTGAGGAACTGTCTAACTTAGTTAACCAGTCAGTGAGCCGCTAACCAGAACCAGAACCAGAACCAGAACCTGGACCAGAATCTGGACCTGGACCAGAACCTGGACCAGAACCTGGACCAGAACCTGGACCTGTTCTGTTCTGCTCCAGGATTTGGGTCATGTTTTGGTCAGTGTGGGCTGTAGGTGTGTCCACGGTCTGGGCTGTTGTTATGGTTTCCACCCCCCCCCACCCC